CCGGATGTCCGTGATTTACGGACATCCGGTTATGGCTGCTACCAGAGCTCTCCGTTTCTCCGACCACGTGACCAAAAGAAACGGAGGCTCTGGGGACGAGAATGATCCGGCCCTTGAAAATGAAAATGTTCGTAAGCTTGTGCTTCCTCGTTTTCCTTTCACTTCCTAACAGTTTAGCGTCGTCAGACCAAAATGAAAGTCAACAGGTGGGAGAGATAATAGAAACTGTCAACGATTTTGGTTTCGATCTGTTGAAAAGTTTCAACCACGAGGAGAAACTGAAAGATGACAATCTATTCTATTCTCCAACCAGTATTGTAGTCTCTTTGGCGATGGTGTTCTTGGGAAGTAGAGGAAACACAGCGCATGAATTAGCGAAAACTTTGAAGTGGTTCTCTCATGAATTCGAAGACGTCCACTTGGCGTTGAAGTCGTTGCAGGAGGCCATACAAGAATCCGAGCACGATAACCTGGAGCTGAAGATCGCCAATCGAATTTGGGGACACGAGGACTTAGATGAGACAGCCGAGTTTCAGGAAAGTTGCCTTACATTCTACGACACACGCATTGCTAAAGTTGACTTTAAGGAGAATTACGAGCGAGCGAGAGAGGAGATCAATGGGTGGGTAGAAGAAAATACCGCAAGGAAAATTAAGGGTTTCCTCCCACCCGGAGCTGTCAATCAAGATACGAGACTGGCATTAATTAATGCAATTTATTTCAAGGGTACATGGCTTCATGCCTTTAAGCCAGAGAAAACTCATCATGCTCGATTTTATACCGGGAATGATCATAAGAATGTTGTGGAAGTTGAGATGATGTCACACACCTCAAGGCACAGTTACTTTGTCGACAAAGAAAATAATTGTAAAGTTATTGAACTTCCATACAGTGGGGACGGCGTTGCTATGTTGATTGTCCTTCCCAATGAAATCAATGGAGTTTCTCACCTCGAACAGGTGATAAACACTGAAATCATGTCCCAATGGATTATGTCGTTCACGAACACCACTGTAAAAGTATCCATTCCTAAATTTATCCTGAGTCAGCATTTTGAACTGAAGGAGGTACTCAGTAAACTAGGCATAATTGACTTGTTTGAGCCTGGCATAGCAGACCTGTCTGGGATTAGTTCAGTTGAAAGCCTCTTTGTCTCTCGTGTCATACATAAGGCACACGTCGATGTGAACGAGAGAGGAACAGAAGCCACCGCAGCATCTGGGGTGGTTATGCAGAAGAGATCTTTAGACATGCCTCCAGAGTTCTATGCCAATCACCCCTTTTTATTCATAATCTTTCACAAGACCTCAAGCGCTATTTTATTTATGGGTCGCGTCAAGAAACCTGAGATGACTGAACAAGAAAATGACACTGCCAAAATTAATTCCAATTCTGCACATCAAAGTGATGAACTGTAAGTTTGGTCAACTAGTCTAAGCAAGTCTACATGTAAGTATCTTTCAATAGAAAAAAAAAGAGTTTTTTTTTAACTACCTTAAAAGGCTTTAACAGAATTCTTTGCTGCCCACATCATTATTTGATTTAAACACATTTTTGTCACTAATGTTAGCCTTCACTGTTCCAGCAAATGGTTGACCAAGCTTTCTGGGATAAGGTTGACGTTCAATAAGCCTGCTTGCTAGCACGAGTATTAGACTGGGGTTGATCCTTGTTAATGGGTAGATCCTTGTTTATCAGGCTTTCTTAATGCAACTGCTTAAATGATAAGAATCTCATCAGAGACGTCTTTGAGAAAGAATTCACACTATGCATTTGTACTCATTGGTCTTTAAAATATTATGAGAAATAAATAAATAATGCAATTTTGTTAAAATAATATTATCCCATTCAATAGTTATTGTGAGCAGCTCCTGGAGAAAGGCAAACTTCTATATGATATTATCAGCATGTATAGTTAAACGCAACTTGCAATGATGCCTCCAAAATCTGAGATTAAAAATGAGTATTGTCCAAATGGCTTCTCTTTGATCAATGTATCAATGATATTGATGTAGCTTGTTTAAAACGTTAAAAAGAAATACAATTTCTTTTTAGTCTGAAGCACCCCCCCCCCCCCCTCACTGAAGGAGTGGTTGGACTATCTTACATGCCATTATAAGAAGATGTCTGACAATAAATACGTAACAACTGTGCAACAACATTGTCAGTTTAAGCTGAAATAAATTAATTAGCCCTGAAGTTGAGTTACTGTTTCTGCCTTGTTGATCTGAAAGAGGCTTTGTTTTTTAACAGGAATTACTTATGGGGATCAAATGCCAAACATAGAAGAGAAAATTAGAGATTAGAAACAAGTAAATTGACACTGTATGTGGATTTGATAAAAATAGGACTAATTTTAAACCACTTTAATGGTCTGCAAATTATTGGGACACTCTGTCACCCCAAAGAATGAAATTCAGAGTTGTGTCACACTCCAGGGAAGGGTGGGAAGGTGCAGGTGAAGTGAAAGAAACTTTTATTATTTTCTTATCTTCACAACAACGTTTTACTGTACTTGTGTTTTTTTTTTAAATTGATATTTGTGTGTACATTATAATTAGAGTGTGTGGTATGCCAATTCTAACTAACCAGAAATTTATTTTGTTTACAATATCCCTATGGTTACATTCCAAGGAGACAGTATTCTAACTGAATAAATCATTTACATAGGACTTTTATTCATTAGCCAGTGCAATGCAATATTTCAGTAAATGAACCAATAATGACAAAGAATACAAACGTTGTTCTATAACAAGATTTGACTTCCTCAAAGAGGATTGGAATGTTGTGGATCCTTCAGGACAATATTTTAATATTACAAAATAGGATTTTTTTCATAATTTTTGTCCCAAACTCATGGCCATGATTTTTCTTGTTTACAACCATCCTGGAGTGTATTTATTAAGAAGACTGACATGAAATTATTAGGAGAAAGATCTCTACAAGGAATATGACTGAATTTGTCCTACATGTTTTCACCTCCACAGTTATAACAAAATTGAAAGTAGATTTGGTGGATGGAGAATTATTGATACAATACAATACAATACAATAAGGTTTATTAGCTTCCACAAGAGGATCTTCACACCAGTAATCTAGAGAGTATGTTTATGCATAATTTAACAACAGCATCAAAAATATTTCCATTAAAAATTACAGTTGGTTTGAATGAAAATGACTAATATCACTACAATATTTATGAAAAAGGTATGGTATTTAAAGTAAATTAACTCCAAAAACATATAGACAATTTACCTGAAAATAATTTCTTTCCTCATAATAAACTGTACAACTGCATAATTTAGTTGCATCGTAAATGCATATATAAATGGCTGGTAAAACATACTTTAAATTCTGTTTCAAAAATTAAGTACCACTGACATGGATTCTGGAAAATTACCATCCAGTTCTTGAGGTCATATGAAGAGATGCACATACACTTTCTCATACCATTCATGCTTAAAAATCATACATCCTGTCCAGTGTCATGCATTGTGGGGG